GTATGGTTATTCTATGTTTAGCTTTTTGACGAGCCAGTACAGTATTTTCCACAGAGTTTGCACCACTTTACATTCTTTGCAGCAATGTATGAGGGTTCCGATTTCTCTGCATTTTCAACCACACTTGCTATTTTTCACTACTGTTTTTTATTATTGGCATCATGGTAGGTGTACAGTGGTCTATTACTGTGGTTTTAATTTGCATTTGCCTGATGACTAGTGATATTGAGCGTGTTTTCATGACCTTATTGGTTATTTGTATATGCTCTCTGGAGAAAGTCTCTTCAAATATTTTGTCCATTTTTAACTGGATCATTTGTCTTTTCATTATTGAGTGTAGGAATTCTTTATGCATACTGGATATCCAGTCTTTATCAAATGATACGCAAATATTTTCTTACATTTAGGAGATTGTCTTCACTTTCTTGATAATGTCTTTTAATGCACAAATATTTTTAATTTTTTTAAAGTTCTCTAAATCAGCTTTTTAATTTTTTAATTTTACTTTAAGTTCTGGGGTACATGTGCAGAACGTGCAGATTTGTTACGTAGGTATACACATGCCATGGTGGTTTGCTGCATCCATCCCCTTGTCATCTACATTATGTATTTCTCCTAATGTTATCCCTCCCGAATCCCCCCACCCCCTGCTATCCCTCCCCTAGCTCTCCCACCCTCTAACAGGCCCCAGTGTGGGATGTTCCCCTCCCTGTGTCCATGTGTTCTCATTTTTCAATGCCCACTTATGAGTGAGGACATGTGGTTTTGGTTTTCTGTTCTTGTGTCAGTTTGTTTTGATGAAGTCCAATGTGTCCAGTTTTTCTTTTGTTGCTTAAGCTTTTGGTATCATACCCATGAATACATTGCCAAGTCCAAGGTTATGAAGATTTTCCCCCATGTTTTCTTTCAAGAGTTTCATATTTTTATTTCTAATATTTAAGTTCTTGAACTACTTTGAGTTAATTTTTGTATGGTCTCTGAGATAGGGGTCCAACTTCATTCTTTTGCATGTGGAAGCCCAGTTGTTCCAGCATCATTTGTTAGAGAGATTCTTCTTTCTCTATTGAAAAGACTTGGCACCCTTGTAAAATAATCAGTTGGCCATAGAAATATGAGTTTTTGTTCTGGACTTTCAGTTCTATTCCATTGGCCTATATGACAATCCTTATACCAGTACTCCATTCTTTTGATTACTGCAGCTTTGCAGTAAGTTTTGAGATTGGAAAGTGCAAGCCTTCCTACTTTGTTTTCCATCAAGATTATTTTGTCTCTTCAAGATCTCTTGCAATTCCATGTGAATTTGAGGATTGGCTTTTTACTTTCTGCAAAAAATAAATAAAAAGAAAAGACATCTGTTGGATGTTTTTGATAGGGATTATATTGAATCTGAAGATCATTTCAAGTGGTGTAGGCAATTTGACAATATTGTCTTCCCAACCATGAGCATGGGATGCTTTTCCATTTATTTATTCAGGTCTTCTTTAATTTCTTTCAACAATGTTTTCTGGAGTTCACTGTGGAGGTCTTTCACTTCCTTGGTTAAGTTTATTCCTAGAAGTGTTGTTGTTTTCGATGCTATTATGAATGATATTGCCTTCTTAATTTCCCTGTCTTCATGGCATTGATTTTTGCATATTGATCTTATGCCCTGCAACATTTTTGAATTCTTTTATTAGGCCTTGTAACTTTCTTGTGGATTATCTGGGGATTTTTATATATAGGATTATATCTTCTATCAACAGAGATTGTTTTACTTCATGCCTTCCAACTGGATAACTTTGTCTTGTCTCATTGCTCTAATACCACAATGATGAATAGCAGTGGTGAAAGTGGGTGTTCTTGTCTTGCTCCAACACCTGCATGTTGAATTGCCTTCCCACCGCATACTCCTTTTTCTAGTTTTAATAAATTTGGGGAGATGGGTGGGATTATTATATATCTCTCTTATTTACATTGAACCAAGAGATGTACTTGAGTTTCTTTTAGCAGAAGTTAGATGTTTTTAGGTAAAAAAAGCCTTTAAGTTATCTAATCTACAATCATGGGAAGGAATATAAGATGACCTGTTGAAAAAATCTGACAGAAAAGATGAGAGGTTAATCCTTATGGCCTGGCTTGGTGGCCCCCTCTCCACCTTACCCAGAATAATAAAAACAAGCTGTGTTATCATGATAGGACTTGAGTGTCAAAGAGAATCTGGAAGTTAGTCAAACTTATAAGGGTCTGGTGAGAAGGGGGGCCCGTGGGAAACCGGCTTGAAGGATGGGAGATAAATATGTCTCATATCCCACATAATAACCAAGTTTTTTCTGTCTCTCAGCCAGGTGTCAACTCTAGGTGTTTAATCATCCAACATCTTGGAAATGTGTCATCAGTTGCTAGGAAACTTACTCTTGTGAACATGAGTCATACTTTATCTGTGCATCTGTGTATGTGTATGAGAGAGAGAAAGAGGAGAGAGAGATGGGACAGAGAGAAAGATATGGGAGAGATGCACTACTTATCCCATGGTGTGCTCTAAAGAGAGAAAGTAGAGAACACACTTTTGGCTCTTCTTCTCTCATCTTTTGCCTACACTTCTCCACACAATTCACTTTATTTTGCTTGAAACTCCTCATACAGAGACCTGGAAAACTGGAGTGGTAGGCATTCTCTCTCTGGGTGCAGCACATCCTCAGTTCCAGTGGCCCTAGGTGTGTGAAAGCAGTGCTCTCCCCTGCCCAATGAGCTGTTGAACGCTGTGACCTCCTGCTAATGTCTGGGAGGTCATTATGTTGCCCAGCTTTAGTTGATGGGAGAACCCCAAGTTAGAATTTCTTCACCTTAGGGTGTGTAAAATCTCAGTCACCACAGTGAATTACCTGCTTTGTCCTGGCTAAATATGAAACCCATATAAGTGTCAGCTCCTCAGGTGATTGAAGATACAGTGTTCCTGTTTGGGCACTGTCAATCAATCCCTTCTCCCTCACTCTCTCTAAGTGTGTTCAGCCTGCAGAGCCCATGTGGGAGTTATGGTGGACACACAGATAAATAAATATTGCCAGCCCTCTGAGAAGCACCTACCAGATGACAGATACATCCAGAGGAAGCTTCTGATGATGGAATTAGTCCTGTACTGAGGAAGTGCTCAAGTTGATGGCAAAGACATAGCCTCTATCCTGAGGGTGCTCCTAGTGTGATGGGGGAGACCTAGGTCCTGCTTAAAGCAAATTCCTAGTGTGATGAGACTTCCTAGTGTGAAGTCTCTGCCCTGGAGGAACCTTTGGGCAGATAGAGGAGGAACTCCTCCTCCGTCATATGTAAACATAACAGATATGTTTTACAAATATTCCCTCCTAGTTTGTGACTAGCCATTCATTTTCTAAACTGTTTTTGATGAGAAGTTTTTAATTTTTATGAAGTCTAAATGATCATTTTTTATTTTATAAATATTATTATTTGTCTCCTATCTAAGAACCCTTTGCATGAGTCATAAAGATATTCTCCTATATTTTATTATAGATGTTTTATAGTTTTAGCTTGATGGTGAGATAAATGATTCATTTTTAAATGAAATTTTATATGTTATTTAAGATAGGGGTCAAAATTCATATTTTTCCATATGGATAACCAGTTGTTCCAGCCACATTTGCAGAAAAGATTGTTTTGCCTATAGGATTGCATTGGTTTCTTATTGAAAATCAAATGATGTAAATGTGGGGTCCCTGTTATCTCCCATGGAATTATGTCTCCCTTTATACTACCATCCTGTCTTGGTGACAGTATACCAGCTTTACAACAAGACTTGAAATTCGGTGGTGTTAAATCCTCCAACTTTGTTTTTCTTTGTCAAGTTTGCCTTGGATATCCCATTTGTATATTTGGTATACACCCAAAGGATTATATATCATTCTATTATAAAGACACATGCACACGTATATTTATTGTGGCAGTGTTCACGATAGTGAAGACTTGGAACCAACCCAAATGCCCATCAATGATAGACTGGATAAAGAAAATTTGGCACATATACACCATAGAATACTATGCAGCCATAAAAAAGAATGAGTCATGTCCTTTGTAGGGACATGGATAAAACTGGAAACCATCATTCTCAGCAAACTGACACAAGAACAGAAAACCAAACACTGCATGTTCTCACTCATAAGTGGGTGTTGAACAATGAGAACACATGGGCACAGGGATGGGAATATCATGCACAGGAGCCTGTCAGGAGGTGGGGGTCTAGGGGAGGGATAGCAGGTGATGGGGGGGATAGAGGAGGGATAGCATTAGGAGAAATATCTAATGTAGATGACAGGGTGATGGATGCAGCAAACCACCATGGCACGTGTATACCTATGTAACACATCTGCATGTTCTGCACATGTACCCCAGAACTTAAAATAGGTTAAATAGACATAGTGGAAGTGGACATCATTGCTTTATTCCTGATTTCAAGGGGAATGTGTATGATAGTTTATCATTAAATATGATGTTAGCTGTGGGTAGGTGTTTCATAGATGTCTTTTATCAGATTGAGGAAATTCCCAGTTTTCTGAGCTTTTCTTCCCAATTTGCTCAGTTTGTTTTTTAAAATGATCAACAAGTATTACATTTAATAAAATTAATCCATGATTTTTCTGCTGCGTTAATGTAATGAATTATATTAATTAGTTTTTGGGTGTTCAAATAATCTTCTATTCCTGGGATAAACCTAGGTGATTATAATGTATTATTCTTTTTATATATTGCTAGATTTGATTTGTTTATAATTTTTTATTTACATTAGGGAGAGGTATTGGTCTAGCATTTTTTTCCCTTATTTTTTTGTAATGTGTCCATTAGATTTTACTCTCAGGGTTAATCTGGCATCATAACATTCTCTTCTATTTTCCGAGTTTGTGTAGGATGGGCATTATTTCTGTCTTAAACGTTTGATGAAATTCATAGCTAAACCATCTATTGTTGGAATTTTGTCTGTGGAAAGTAGTTTTTTTTTAATTAAAAATTTAGAGTTGTGGGAGTGGAGGAGGAAGAGGCGGTGGGGGGGACGGGGGCTGGTCCCAGAAGATGGCGGAGGCGGGGGATTTCTGGTAGGTCCTACTTTAGGACAAGATGTGGTATTGTTGAAACGTCAGTCTTTGATTCACAGACAGTTGAGCTTTTCAGCTGGGAAGCCTTTCTTTTTTTCCCTTTTTTTTTTTTTAAACGGCTTACTGAACCTATGAAACCATGGCGGAAGGAGAGACAGAGTCACCTGGGCCCAAAAAGTGTGGCCCATATATCTCATCTGTCACTAGCCAGAGTGTGAACTTGATGATTCGAGGAGTAGTGCTATTTTTTAATGGAGTATTTCTTGCATTAGTGTTAAATTTACTTCAGATTCAGAGAAATGTGACACTCTTTCCACCTGATGTGATTGCAAGCATCTTTTCTTCTGCATGGTGGGTACCACCCTGCTGTGGCACAGCTTCAGCTGTGATTGGGTTATTATACCCCTGCATTGACAGACATCTAGGAGAACCACATAAATTTAAAAGAGAGTGGTCCAGTGTAATGCGGTGTGTAGCAGTCTTCGTTGGTATAAATCATGCCAGCGCTAAAGTGGATTTTGATAACAACATACAGTTGTCTCTTACACTGGCTGCACTATCCATTGGACTGTGGTGGACTTTTGATAGATCTAGAAGTGGTTTTGGCCTTGGAGTAGGAATCGCTTTCTTGGCAACCGTGGTCACTCAATTGCTAGTATATAATGGTGTTTATCAATATACATCTCCAGATTTCCTCTATGTTCGTTCTTGGTTACCATGTATATTTTTTGCTGGAGGCATAACAATGGGAAATATTGGTCGGCAACTGGCAATGTATGAATGTAAAGTTATTGCAGAAAAATCTCATCAGGAATGAAGAAGGCAAAAAAATATCTTTTGCACAGAAAAACAGGATGACAAGGATGTGAAATGGTAGATATACCAACAAAACTTCAGACTGTAAAATTGCCAGGATGCAGTTTTTCCCTTGATTGATGTGTGTGTATATATGGGTAAATATACACGTATACACACACATATTACTGCAATCTGTGATTGCTTCATCTGTAAATCAGTTACAAACCTTTATGTATTTGACTTAAATAACTGTAAGATATATATGTACTACATTAAAAAGTGTTGATTAATAGATGAAATTTTTAAATTAATTTTTTAAACATGCCATACATTGTATCACAATGTTAATGTGCCAAAATACTGTTCCTGTCATGCAGAGTATAAGAATGCTTTGAAAATTTGTAAACTTAGTGAAATAAAATGAGGAAAGCCAAAAACAAAAAAACAACAACAACAAAAAAATTTACTTTAATAGATACAGGGCTATTTGAAATTTTAATTTTATCTTGTGTCAGTTTCAGTTACTTATATTTTTCAAAGAATGTGCCCAGTTTGTCTAAGTTGTTAGTATTGTTCTCTTATTATCTTTCTTATATCTCTAGGGATGGTAGCAATAATCTCTGTCTCATTCCTGATATTAGTAAGTTGTGCTCTTTCTTTCCTTCATCAATCCAGCTTGCCTGCTCTCCCTGGCCCCTCCCATCCATTTTTTCTTCATTTTAACTAATGCCCTTGTTTCTGGCTTTTATGCAAAAGTCAAGGTGAATCACCCAGGCCTATTATCTCGCTACTCCCTACTTTAAACTACCTTTATCTCTTTTTCTTCTTTCCTTTGTACCTTAAAGAAAGCACTGTCCTTGATTTTTCCCAACTGAACTCTTTCCTTATATATTTGACTAAGCCCATGTCCTGAACTCTCATTTTCTTCCTCTTTAGGGGTCTAACACCCCCAACAAAATACTCTTGATCCTTCACTTTTTCGTATTACAGCCCATACTGCTGTTCATACCATGCTTCCTTTATGTATCTGCAGCCTCAGCTCAGGCTCTGACAGCCCCGAATATCAGTGTGACTTGGAAGTTTCCAACATGTCATACTTTTTCTCTCATTGGTATTTTTCTCATGCTTTCCTCTCCATATGGAGGATATTTCCCCCCTACAATCTCCCTGGAGAACATCTGCTCAGTTCATGAGTAACTTCCTCCATGAAGCCTGGTGAAATCAATCACCTCCTTATTCTGCACTCTACTTGGACAGATACTGTGGATAAAAGCATCTGTTATCCTTCGTTGCATGCATTTGTTGATGTCTTTGCTTCCACAAAGTCCCTGAGAGCAGGAACTATGTCTGTTCATATTTATATCCTTATGCAACTTGATGCACTGTCGGTGCTCAGGATATGTTTGTTTATTGGCTGTATAGCATTTGCATTTTATGAAGATCAGGGTTTCCATGTGGAATCATTCAGGCTTTCCCCCAACAGTTCCTTTTCTGTTTTCTCACTCACCCTCTCTTCCTTAACAGTGTGGAGCCACTGGTGATTCCTTGCTCTTCCATTGCCAACTTCTCCTCTGCTAGGTCTTCCTTTGTGTTGCACTTCTTTATCTTTTTCCTCGTTTTGGTCTCTGCTGTCTCTGCTACATCTTGAAGCAGCATTGCCTTGTTCATGAACCATTGTCTCTAAGCCAATCTCTTGGTCTTCCCCTTTGTCCCATTCCAATCCATCTTTACTATCACTCAAAGATTACTTTCCCTGAAACATATCAGGAAAAGGCTTCCCTTGGCAAATCGCCTGGACCTGCCCAAGGTTGTGCAGTGGAATGGGGAGCTGAGGAAGTTGCAGCATTCTCGGGAAGAGATGCACAAATGTTGTGGGTCTTTCATCTTAAGTGGTTTCTGATCTGTCTGACTGAGCGATTGCCTGGAGCCACCCCTGTTGAACATTCATTCATGAAGATTCTGGGCTGGGCTATTGCAGGAGTAAATCACCCTGCTTGCCTTCATCCCCTACCCAGTCCTCAGCACACCAGGACAAGTAGTTCCATGGTCTCTGAGGCAACAAGGACATCTATTTCACATGGGAACCCAGGCCAGGGGAAGTTCATTCTGTCCTAACTCTAAGTAACAGGCAGTGCAGAAAGAAGTCCAAGAAGGAGGGGGAATAAGAGAGGAGGTTGTGCTTTTATGGTTCCTTCTGGTCTCATTGTCATTTTGGGTGGTCAGAGATGGAACAGCCCTCAGAGGTCTGCTGACACAACACCTTCATTTTATGTGTAGAAAACTGGGTTCTAAGAGGAAAAATGGTAGTCATATAGCACATTAGCCTCGGAGGAAGGTTGAGTGAGAAACTGATAAACATTTGTTGAACGAATAATAGAATCATAAAGAGTTAGAGGCAGCCAACACATTGTGATAAAATTTCCATCTCATGTGGGGAAAGTATCCAGAAGTTATACTCTACAAAACATGGTCATCCAAAGTGTGATTGGATGCGTCTGGTGACAGAGAGATCATTACCTTAACTGCTTCTATTGTTGGGTACTTTGAATACAGAAAACTCTTCTACATACTTCTACAGTCAAGAGTCACTTAATGACAGGGATATGTTCTGAGAAATGCATCATTAAGTGACTTCATCCTCGTGTGAACCTCATAGAGTATACTGACATAAACCTAGCTGGTATAGCCTACTACACATCTAGGCTATCTGGTATAACCTATGCTTCTAGGCTACAAACCTGTGCAACATGTTACTGAATACCGTAGGCAACTGTAGCACAATGGTTAATATTTGTGTATCTAAACAGAGAAAAAGTACAGCAAAAATACTGTGCTATAATCTTATGGGACCCCTGTGGTGCATGTGATCTGTCATTGACCAATCACATACACCACAGGAGTCCCATAAGAAATGTTGAAATATCATTGAAATGTTGCCTGTGGCACATGTGATCTGTCGTTGACCAATCACATGCACCACAGGAGTCCCATAAGAAATGTTGAAATGTCATTGAAATGTTGCCTGTGGCACATGACCACACATCTTTCACAGCTTGTCTCCCTGTGATTTTACCCATCAGTCCTGGTTCTGCCCTGTGGAGCCACAGAGATTCAAGCCCTTCACATATATTGTCTTGTTGACATCTCTCTGGGAAAAGCCTGAGAAGAGATGGTTCTCCATGTTACAGGGGCCTGGAGAAATGAAGTAACTGACCAAGACTCAGAGCTAGGTTGAGAGCCCAAGTGCCTAGGTGTCTTGGTCCATAGTTGGGGTGGGGATGCAGGAGGGATATTGTCTTAGCTCCTCTGGGTGCTCCCCATCTCTTCCCATCAATCACGCTGACATGGTTTGGCTGTGTCTCCACCAAAATATTATCTTGAATTGCAGTTCCCATTATCTCACACGTTGTAGGAGGTACCCAGTGGGAGATAATTGAATCATGGGGGCAGTTTTCCTCTCATGCTCTTCTTGTGGTAGTAATTCTCATGAGATCTGGTGATTTTATAAGGGGTTTACCCTTTTGCTTGGCTCTCATTCTCTCTTGCCTACTGCTGTGTAAGTCATGACTTTCACCTTCTGCCATGATTGTAGGGCCTCCCCAGCCATGTGGTACTGTGGGTCCATTAAACTTCTTTTCTCTATAAATTACCCAATCTCAAGTGTGTCTTTATCAGCAGTGTGAAGATAGACTAATACACATGCTCTAAGGGGCTCACTTGGCCCATTTCTTGCTCTGTGCCATCTGTGCTGCCCCTTTCACCTGCCTGCTCCTCCCCAGCCCCTCACCATGGATCTATGTCTCTGTAAGGCAAGAAAGCAGCTCCTCTGCCCAACTTGAGGCCCAGGTCTTGTGGGTGGGTGGAGATGGTTCCTGGGCATGTCTCCCCAGTGCAGCTCTTGCATCTCATCTCCTTTATTACTGCTGGAACAGCCTCCATATGCCTGGAGGGTATGCAGGCTGGGGAAATGAGGAAGAGCAGGGTCTCTCTGATGTCCTCACTGGGAGAAATTCCATTCTACAGCTCTGGGGAGGCTACTAAGCTTTCCACAAACATTTCTGCTTTCCCTCCCCAATGCCCCTTAGTGGGTCTTGTACTTTCTACAAAAATCCCCAAGTGGAAGGGGGAGGATTGTGGGGGATGGGTCACGGGCATGGTATCTAAAGTGTGGTCATCTGGAGGTACAGGTCCAGAGGAATGAGGGGTTGCCAGGGCAGGAAGCAGAATTAGGGCTGAGAAGGGAGCAGAAGATGGTGTTTGGGAGACAATTCTACTTTCTTCCTCTCTACCCATCTTAAACTGTGCCCCTCACTCCTTTATTCCAGTTAGGCTGAGAAACCCAGGACGGTTTTTCTCCACTCAACACACCATCCTTCCTAGTCCTCCAAATGAACTGACTGCCGGTCACTGGGTGGATGGTCACTGGTGCCCTCTGCCTTAACTGGGAACTAGTTTTCTAGTACAGGCTGAAGCAGTTTAGCCAATCGGTGCAGGCATACAAATAAGAGAATCCTGAGTAGCATTTTCCCTGGCCACTCATCAGCAGAGTTTTAACCTCGGCTCTCTGATTGGTCTATCAGAAGACAGCTTGGGAGTTCAGGCTCAATTATCTTCTTTAATGGGCCAGTGGGCAGGGGAGGGAACAAAAGAGTGGATGTTAGACTAAAACAACATAGTTTTAGTTCACTTGGGAATGCGTTATATCAAAATTTTGCATTATGTTTGCCTTCAAATACTTTAACAGTTAGTTGACTCCCGCCGAGTCAGATGGTGTGGGGAGAGGGAAAGCATGTGAGAAGGGCAGACCAGGACAAACGTGGATGGATGTGGTAGCTATCCCCGACAACGGACACTTCCCCACATCATACCTTGTCTCCTTTTTGATTGGTGTCAGAGCCCTCTCTGTTGCCCTCTCCCTCAGATGTGTTTACTGGACCTCTCCAACATTTAGCATCAAGGCCCCGGGTGTGCCCAGAGCAGGGTTCTGTGTGCACAGACCAGTCATGAAGATGGATTGTTCCCCGCAATAAATATCGACTGATTCATAAATCTGGTTGCCAGATTCGATCAAAGTCGCTGCCTGCATAATCTGGGAGCAGGAAGACGCCAGTTAATTCTATACTGGGCTGGCTGTTTCTCAGTGGAAGATGTATAAATGTCGATGTCTCTTAGCTCCCTGCAACTTGGGGGCTGTGTGATGGGGTCGGGGAGAACAAATCCTCCCAGCTGAAGGGGCAAGGCTCTGAACGGTGGTGAAGACTAGGATGATCCAAGGGACAGAAGGTTCGACAGGG